CGACGTGCGTTTAGTGGGAGGAGACGTTCGTGTCGTCTACGAAGTAGTCTATGGTGACTTCGTCAATCTCATGATATGTAGGCTCTCTCGGAGGTGGTCATAATGGTAGAAAGTATGTTCATTCATAAATGTGAGTGTATGTACGTATGTATGGGCCTCCGCATCTGCAATGTGTTAAAAACAAAGAACAATAAAAAGACAATGAAAGAAACAAAAATAAACTGATGAAAACCAAAGAAAAACTGAAGACTGATGAAATAGAGATAACCAATTTTTTATTTGAAAAAAACACATGAAAGCAACCAGTACGTCGAACACCACGAGGGAGCGTCTTGATCGAAAGAAATAAACAGATGGAAATGGGTCAACCCAGTACTGTAGCATTGTAAAAAATGCAAATTTTGTAACCGGTGATGTGGCCGCCGATTTGGCTAGTCCTGCGGGATTATGGAATGGAAGGCTCCAGTTCCAATAAAAATGCTTCGAACGAGACCAAAGGGTACACTCGCGAGACATAGAGTTTGTAGGGTCGGAGGGCCCTGCGGCTGGACTTGCTTCGATGGAAGTGATTTTTCAAGTGAAAACCCAGCAATTTGTTTTTCTTTTCTTGAGAATAATTGGGCCCGAGAGCTATACCCTGCATCACACGAGATGGAACATGCTCTCGCTTCAGGCGCATCGTTAACTGTCTGGCTCATTAGCACATGACTCTCTCGCGTTAGGTTCACTCGATGTAGTCTTTTTCCTTTTTCTTTTTTATGTTTTCTTTCGTTTTTTTCTTTGGTTCTTTTTTTTTCATAGGTTTTATTATGTTTTTTTTCTTCTTTACTTTGCTATAATTTTAGTTTTTCCTTATTTTGGTTTCCACTGGTTTAATCATTTTGTCTATTTTCAGAGTTTTTTTTGTGTTTTTCTATGGTTTTCTTTGTTTCTTCTCAATTTTTTGGCTTCTTTGTTTATCTTTCCTTTTTTTAATGTTTTCTCTCCAGTTTTGTTGTTTCCTTTTTCTCCTCGGTTTTCTTTTGTTCCTTTATTTGGTTTTCTTTTTCTTCTTTCCTTTTTCTCTCTCATCAAATGTCTACATTTTTTGTCACACATTGTACATTTTTTGTGCATGTCAAGAATATTTTTTAATACACGTCTAACATTTTTCAAATAAGCAATTAACAATTTTTCAAATAAATGTTTTGATGTCTTTTGTTCTTACACTAACGTATATTTTTTTATGTATCTAAAACCATTTTTAATATAGGTATAACATTTTTCATATGATTATTTTTTGAATATATGTTTTAATGTCTAATTTTTTAATGCACATCGAATATTTATCTTATACATCGGATACATTTTCCATATACATGTTTAACATTTTTTAATAAATATATTTGGGGTTGTCTACTTTTTTTATACATATTATACATTTTTTATATACATCAGGAACTTTTTTATATACACATTTATTTTTTTGAAATACATGATTAACATTTTTCAAATATTTTTATGTAAAGTGTTTTTGTAATATATATATATATATATATATATATATATATATAATGTTTGTAAGTATAAAAAAAGTTAAAAAAAGAATAAAGAAAAACAAAAAAGGAGGTTGTGGCATGTGGCCTCGCGCGAGCCTGGGCCGTCTCTTCTCATGTGCGACTTCAGGCGAGGCTTGCCGACATCTCGCGTCTAGTGAGACATAGGCGCCCCTATTGTGGGGACCTAGTAGATTTGTTTTGAGACAAAGTGGACCTAGTAGATTTTTTTTATCAAAAGATAGCTAGTCTTTATTGATCAGTGACAATGTTAACAACAATTACATTCGGATCATACGTTGTGCGTAGCCACAGATGTCTCCCCTGAGGGAGGGAGACGTCGTATCTAGCTATATTATGCGCTTCAACATTCGAAGCACGGAGTTCAGGGCCAAAATTACAACCAGAAAATAATTTAACAGTTTCTCTAATTTCTCTAACAATGCCGGCGTAGTTTCCTCCTTTCCCAGTAGATTTTTTTGAGAAAAAGTGGACCCAGTAGATGAAACCAGCCTAGTCGGCCATAGCTTGGCATATTGATGCCCTATTTTTCAAGCACAAGGGGATGTAAGACTCGAGAGATAAACCAGCCTACTGAAGGAGCCAATTCTAGTCTAGTATTAAATTTGGTCGGACTATGTTTCCCAGTGGGACATGAGGCCACTCGGTACCGGACTATTTGGTCGGCTTTAGAAAGGCCATTGGGGACCAGGTCCATGCGGAGTGAACCAGCCCATTCCCATCTTGATGCCAGGCTCTAACCCAGTAGTTTTTTATACTGAAGGAGGCAGAAAACCGATAAAGAAACACAGAAAACCAAAAGAAAACAAATGAAAAAAAAAATGAAAAAAACACACATGGAAGAAACCATTACGTCGACCACCGAGCAAGCGTCTCGATCGGGAACAGCGAAAGAAATAAACATACGAAAATGAGTCGGCCCAATACTATAGCACTGTAAAAATGCTTTAGGCCAGACCGAAGGTAACCTCGCTATAAGCAAGATATAGCTTTTGCGGGGTGAAAGGGCCACTAGCTGAACTTGGTATGGGCCTGATTTTTTCTAAACAGGCAATCCTGTGGCTGGACTTGCTCTGACGAAAGCGATTTTTCAACTGGAAACCCAACAGATTGTGGGGCATGAGAGCTATATCTCGCCTCACACGAGAAGGAAGCTGCTCTTGCTTTAGGAGCAACACTAGCGGGCTGGCCCATTAGCCTAGGACTCGCCGACAATAGGTCCACTCATTGTATTTCTTTTCTTTTGCTTTTTCCTCTTCTTTTTGTTTTTTTCACAGGTTTTCTTCGGGCTTTTTTTTACTTTGTTATAACTTTAGTTTGTCTTTCTTCTGGTTATTATCGGTTTTCTTTGGTTTTTTGGTTTTATAGATTATTTGTTTTTTTTCTATGCTTTTCCTTGTTTCTTCCTCGGTGTTTTGGTTTCTTTGTTTCTTTTTTCCTTTTTGCATTGTTTTCTCTGGTTTTGCTATTTCCTTGTTCTATTCGATTTTCTTTCATTTCTATATTTAGGTTTCTTTTTTTCTTTGTATTTTCTCTTCTCTTTTTTGAACACATGTCTACATTTGTTTACACATTTTATGTTTTTTGTACAAGTCAAGAATATTTTTTATTAGACTTTAACATTTTCTAAATACATGAATGACATTCTATTTCAAAAAATGTTTTGATGTCAAATATTTTCTTACACATTGTAATTTTTTGGTATATACGTAAGACATTTTTAATACAAGCTTATCATTTTTCCTATGACGTTTTTGAATATAAGTTTTGATGTCGAATTTTTTGCATACACATCATATATTTTTATACATCAGATACATTTTTATATATACACATTTAATATTTTCATATACATGTTTAACATTTTAAAAATATAATTTAGGATATCTAATTATTTATAAATAGTACACATTTTTTGTATACATCAGGAACATTATTTATATAAACATTTAATATTTTACAAATACACTATTAACATTTTAAAAGACATATTTATTTTTATGTCTCCTTTTTCTATACACATTTATATTTCTCGTATACGGCAGAAATATTTTTTTATACACATTTAACATTTTATAAATGCTTGATTAACAATTTTGAAATGTTTTACGTAAAGTGTTTTGTATTATATATATAATGTATATAGAAGATTTGGAAGTATAAACTAAAGTAAAAAATAAAGCAAAAAAGGAAATAAAAAAACATGAAAAAAGAAGGTTGTGGCCTATGGCCTCGCGCGCGCCTGGCCCGTTCCCGTCTCACGTCAACTGAGACATAGGCGCGTAGTGGGGGCCTAGTGATTTGTTTTTGAAACAAAGAGGACCCATTAGTTGAAACCAGCCTATTCGACCATAGAGGAAAAGTATCAGGTACTCTCATACTTGGGGAACTCCCAGTGCTCTAAATAAAAAAAACATTTTTATATGTTTCAAAAATTCCAGAAAAAATGTGGATGATCACAAGAAATGTGACTACAACCCCCAAAACTTTTAGATCTAAACACGAAATGCACGTTGAGAAACAAAAAAGTGAAACCCAGATGTGAATAGTGTCAATGTTGCTTTTGTCTTTTTTACACTATTCATGCTAGATTTGACATTTTTGCTTCTCAATGTTCGTTTCGAGTTTGGACCTGTAATTTTTAGGGGTTATAGTCACATTCCTTGTGAACACTCATATTTTTTTCTGATTTTTTTTGAAACATCTAAGAATGTTTTTTTTGAATTTGGAGCAACGGGAGTACCCCAAGATGGGAGCACCTGATACTTTCCCAGGCATATGGAAGGCCCGACCTGTTTTTCCAGGCCCAAGGAGATGTAAGACTCGAGAGAAAAAAAATGACTTTAAATATAGTTCACAATCCATATTCTAGAGGATGCAAAGCTGACATCATATAAGAAATTACAGACACTAACTAACACAAAATATTATACATTACTTTTGCACATGAATCACACGATAGCAATCACAACCTTCCACACAAAACACTGATCCCTCCATTCAGGTTTATAAGGCAACACATTTTGAGAAAAGCAACAACTTGTACTCCCTCTAAAGAAATATAAGAGCATTTAGATCACGTGATCTAAATCTAAACACTCTTATATTTCTTTACAGAGGGAGCACAATAAATAGTAAAAACATTAAGAAAAACATATTTTATGGTATTACAAATGTTGACATTTGTATATACAGAACTCAAGGAGTTTTGACTTAAGACAAAAGCAACAGACTATAAACCCGAACAACGAGAGTACGGTATTATTGAGCGCTAGGGATACAGACTGATTGGTAACGATGTCTCAAAACTATTGCTAGTCACACAGTTGGGGCAGGAAACTGAATGGTAGAGGCAACCCTGTGTAGATAGAATGGACACAATGCAGGCGAGGAGAAGAACACGGGTGCCTGAGGCTCTGCTGCGCCCAAAATGGCTGGATCAGTTCAGTCCATCGTCGGGAGGTGGACACGGTGGAAATCCTTCATGGTCAGCGTCCTACGGCAGGTAGGGCACTTCTTCTGAGCCTGGATGGAGGCCTCGATGCACTTCTGGCAGAAGATGTGGCCGCAGATGGTCGATGACACATCGGTCAGCTCGTTCCGGCAGACTGGGCAGCTGAACTTTGGTTTCTTTGCGACCTCCTTCACGGGTGCATGGGTTTCCTGCGTCAACGCGAGGTGAAGTTTGTAAGCAAGAATTGAAGAGTGGATACACCTACTATAGCATGATACTCCCTCCGATCAAAACTGCGACACTTATTTTGGATCAGAGGGAGTACTTGTGAAGTATAATGCACAATTCTTACCAAGAGTCTGTTGGTTTCAGGTGCTTCCACCATGTCTATTACACGGTGGTTGTTGCATGCTCCCGAGCGGTCATGGTGTGTAGGGTTCATCCCCAGAGATAGCAGTGTGTTCACATGCTCATTGGGAGCTTCCCCTGGAAAGAAAGGAACACAAACCAAGTCAGTAGATGGAAACATGGTCCAAAAGGGGAAACTAGGACAAATGGAAATATACACCTGTGACCTGTCTACTACAGCGTGAAGCTCCAATACTGAATAGTATATGCAAATTCCGTAAATAACATACATGAATATGGGCATACACCGAGACTGAACAATGTAATATCTTATTTCGAATCAATGATTGAAAAAAAGGAATCTAAGAGTCCAAAGGAAGGTACTTAATGTTAAATTTTGACAAGGATCTTTCAGGTTAACATTTTACTTAGAGCTCTTTTGTCATACAGTAGCTACTTAGTGGGTGGGTTTTCCCAAAAACACAAGCTAGACTCTAAACAAGGTGATGTATGTTAGGCGTTAGCACATAGGTTGAATTTTGTCCAACATACTGCTGGCTATTGGATTTCTAGGCCACAAGTCCTAACGCATATGGTAGGAACAATATCTAGTTAAGGTACACCGGCTGAAGGAAATAAGCACAAGTTTGGTAGAACTATCTGCACCTGGCAGCAAGGTACCCATGTTGGCGTTCAGCGGAACCATGTTTGCACCCGACGACAAAGGGCCAGTGTTGCCTGTCACGAAAGACATTCTAGAATTTTCACTTGCGCCTTGCGTGACACCAGGTGTCACGATCATTATCCCATAGCAAGGGGAACATGTTATCTGCCTTGACAATTGTCGGTTCTGTTGTCGTTGCCGATTCCGAACACTCGAGAGCTTCATGGCAAACTGCAAGTGGGGCTCAATCGGCCCCTTCGTCATATTGTAGTACTCCCTCTGACAAAATAAAAATAAAAATAAAATGACGAAACAATAATGTTTACTTTTGCTAGGAGATGATTTGATTGCTCGAAAACCAAAGCTACAAACAAGTAGGAAAGAGATCAACACCTTGTTTGGGTATTCTCTAAACAAGATTTCCTCGAGCCGCTTCGCAAGGTCCGGCAGCCGCCACTGCCAGATAGCCGACGGTTGCTTCCTTTCTATGTACTCGAATCTGCCAATTCAAGAACAAGTATAAAAATATCCCCTTGCTTTCATACCAGATTCAGACCATGAGCAATTTGATAGTATAAATAGAACTGAAAAGAGGATTCAACTGCAGCCCCAGAGTTCCAAAATATAGATGCAAATCCCTTGTAAACTTAGGGAAACCATTAACTCTGATGGTATATCTACGATCACCTTTGCTTATATTTTTGTGAATGAAATAACATAGTATGAATAAACTTGATACTGTTGGTTAGAGCATGGTACAATTAAAACCTCTGACCAATTGACCAGTAAAATGGTAGGAGTAGATTCATTCCAGTTGAAGCAGTAATGAGCACTTACATCTTCTGTCGAGTATTGATGCGCAGCACCATGAACTTGGGATCGACCCCTGCGGAGCGGTCCAACACATCCTGCATCTGATTTTGCCGCGGCGGCATCCCGGCGCCAGCACCACCAACCTGATTCATGGGCCCAATCTTCGCAGCCAGCCAGCCGAGCCTTACACAGTGCCAGACCAATGGTACCTGAGCCTGGAGAGTCAATACTGGTGGTGGGCCAGCTGCGTGCTCCCCGCTCTATATAACCGCTCTTCGTCAGAGTTGCTTCCGGGCAAGACTACAAAGTTGTTGCAAGAGAAATCCTTCGGAATCACCCTACACGCTATGCCACGTGTTAAAACTAGTTTTGACCGGGGGCGGAGCCTGCCGCGCCGTGTGACTTTGGTTATGCACCACAGATTGCAAAAAGTTTTGGATGGACTTCCAGCTGTTTAAACTAACTTCTACTAACGACACTAACTCGCCAACTACCCACTACCATGCAATGCTAAATTTTCAAAATAGTATTAAACAAAAATTGCCAATAAAATATGTAGATGAAACCTTTCAGGCACAAACATTCCAACTTTCCAAAATTTGAAACGCAAGAAAACTCTCTTGAAGTCCAAAAAGGGAGAGTCACAGGTAGATATGTATGAGAGTGGAAAGTAACCACAAGTCGTCAGATAAACATGGGACACAAGTTTTACCCAGGTTCGAGCCTCTAGGAATGGCCCTACTCTTGCTTATATGGGATGATCTGAAGATAGAGTACAAAGAATGATTACAATGGGGGTCTCGACGAGTTGAAGAGCAACTCGTCGAGTTCTAGATGGTTGATCTCGGCGAGATGCCTAGATCAGTTTGGCTAAGTGGCTAGACTAGGTCTTCGATAGATCTTGAAAGCCCCCTTCATCGTGTCACTGGATGCCCTTATATAGGGGCATAGGATGCTGCTCATGGGTGGAGGACTGGAGGCAGTGTGGAGGGAGGAGCAGCTGCAGGAGGCACTTGAGGAGTCGCAATAGTCATCAATGTGGAGAAAATAAACAGTTGCAAGAAGAGAGAGGAGCACAGGTGCCAAGGCTCTGCTCTGCCCAGAATGGCTGGACCAGGTTAGTCCATCGTCGGGAGGTAGACGCAGTGGAAACTGTTCCTGGTTAGCGTCCTACGACAGGTCGGTCACTTGCTCTGAGCTTGGATGGAGGCCTCAATGCAGTTCTGGCAGAAGATGTGGCCACAGATAGTCGATGACGCATCGACCAGCTCATTCATGCAGACTGGGCAGCTGAACTTTGGTTCCTTTCGGGCCTCCTTCACAGGTACACGGGGTTTCTGCATCACCATGAGCTGCAGTTTGTAAGCAAGCCTTGGAGAACTGATGTAACTACTATACATGATATTTGTGAAGTACAATGCACAATTCTTACCAAGAGTCCGTTGGTTGCAGCTGTGTCCACTGTGTCTATCACGAGGTTGTTGTTGCATGCTCTTGGACGATCATGGTGTGTAGGGTTCATCCCAGAGGCGGCAGTGTGTTCACATGCTCATCAGGAGCTTCCCCTGGAAAGAAAGCAACACAAACCAAGTTAGTAAATGGAAACATAGTCCAAAAGGGGAAACTGAGAAAAAAAAGGTGATATAGACTAGAGCATACAGCTCCAAGACTGAATAATACTCCCTCTGTCTGAAAATGTAAGACGTTTGTCAAAAAAAGTCTTGCATTTTGAGACAGAGGGAGTATATGTATGTTCAAAAATGTCATAAATCAATATGGGCAAATACTGAGACTCAACAGTGTGATATCCCATTTCTATTGATAACTGAAAAAAAATTTAGAAGCGAAGCGTCGGAAGGAAGATAATTAGTGTTAAATTCTGATAATGGATCATTCAGGTTAACATTTCATTTACAGCTTTTTAGTCATACAATAGCTACTTAGTGGATGGCCTTTCCCGAACACACAAGCTAGACTCCCAAAAAGGTGGTTTCTTAGGTGTTAAGACAGGCTAGAAGTTCTCTACAGCATGGTACAGAAGAATTTCAAGTTAAGGTGCACAGCCTGAAGGAAATGAGCATAAGTTCAGTAAAACTATCTGCACCCGGCAGCAAGGTACCCATGTTGGCGTTCAGAGGAACCATGTCTGCACCAAATGACAGAGGGCCAATGTTGCCCGTCACATGAGACATTCCAGAAGTTTCACTTGTGCCATGCGTGATACCAGGTGTCACAATCATTGTCCCATAGCGATGGGGTCGTGTTATCTACCTTGACGATTGTCGGTTCTGTTGTTGTTGTTGGTTCTCAACACTCAAGAGGTTCACGGCAAACCGCAAGTGGTGCTCAATCGCCCCCCTCATCATATTGTAGTACTCTGCCAAAAAAAAACAGAAAATGTTAAAATGATGAAAGCAATTTTATTTACTTTTGCTAGGAGATGACATGATTGCTCGACAACCGAAGGTACAAAAGAAGTAGGAAAGAATCAACACCTTGGTTGGGTACTCTCTAAACAAGATTTCCTCGAGCCGCCTCGCAAGCTCCGGCAGCCGCCCCCAATAGATAGCCGAGGATGGCTTCCTTCCCATATAGTCGAATCTGCCAATTCAAGGACATGTATAAAAACATACCCTTGCTTTTATACCAGATTCAGACCATGAGCATTTTGACAGTAGAAACAGAACCGAAAAGAGGATCCAACTGCAGCCCCAGAGTTCCAGAATTTGTATCCATTAACTCTGACAGTTTATACCTACGATCACCTTTGCTCATAGGTTTGTCAATGAAATTAACAAAGTACTACTAATAAACTTGACACTGTTGTTTAGTACTACGATTAAAACTCCTGACCAGTTGACCAGTGACCTCAGTGAGTCGAGTACATAGTACGAGTATAGATTTGGATTCATTCCAGTTGGAGCAGTGACGAACGCTTACATTTTCTCCCGAGTACTGTTGCGCAGCATCACAAACTGATATCGACTCCCGCGTGGAGGCCCGTCACATCCTGCATCTGGCTTTGCCGCTGCGGCATCCCCGAAGGCGCCGTCAACACCAGCGCCTCCGACCTGATTCACCGGCGCAGTCTGGGCGAGCCTCACACACGCCGCCCCCGTCAACCCCGGCGCAGATGGCGTCGCTGAAGGGTGGTAGGAGGGCCCACCTAAGAGGAGCGGCGCCCGGAGGCGAGGGTGAGGCGGGGAGACGGACTACACGAGGCCGGGTGAGTACAGGTGGTGGGGCCAGCGGCGTGCTCGCTGGGAAAATCCTATTCGCCGCTCGCTGCGGCGAATTGCCGCTGTTTCGCAGAGCGAACGTTCGGGGTTGGGCCAGCCCTTTTAACGTTGCACCGATACCGGTTTTGGGAACCTTTTTAGCTGGTTTTTTCTGGTTTTGGGAACGTTCTAGAAGGTTCCTAAACCAGATTTTTCTTTTTCAGTTTCTCTTTCGTTTTTATCTTCTTTTTCGTATTTTCTGTTTCTTTTTTTAACTTTATTCCACTTTTTCTGGAATTTAAAAAATGTTCACATTTTTCAAATTTTGATCAAGTTTTTTGGAAAATGTTTCCATCCTCAAATCTTGTTCAAATTTTTCGAAAAATGTTTCTGTTTTCAAATTTTGTTCAGAAATTTAAAAACATTAAGATTTTCATTTTTTTGCTCCTTTTCAAAAAAGGTTCAAAAATTCATAACCGTTTACATTTTCAAAAAATGTTCACTTTGAAATTTTTTGTTCATTTTTACTTTTCATTTTTTCTGTTTCTTTTTCTCTTAAATTTATTCCACCTTTTCTGTAATTTAAAAAATGTTCAAAATTTGTTCAAGTTTTTCGGAAATGTTTCCGTTCTCAAATTTTGTTCACATTTTTCGAAAAAGTTTCTGTTTTCAAATTTTGTTCAGAAATTCAAAAAATAATAATCAGATTAAAAAAATGTTTGCTCCTTTTCAAAAAATGTTCAAAAATTCATAACAGTTTACAATTTCAAAAAATGTTTGCTTTTTTAAATTTTCTTGATAAACTAAAAAGTTCAAAGATTTCAAAAACTTGTTCCCATTTTACAAATTTGTACACACATTAGTATAAATGTTATGTTTTAAAATTTGTTCACAAATTCAAAAAATGTTCGCATTTTTAAAAATTTCACAAATTAAAGTTGTTCCCATTTTTCAAATTTGTTCACAAACTCAACAATTGTTCTGTTTTCAAAATTTGTTCACAAATTCAAAAAATTGTTCATGTTTTCGAAATTTATTCGCCAATTCAAATTATGTTTGGGGGAATTTTTTTAAAATTGTTCGTATTTCAAAAAAACGTTCATGTTTTGTTCTTGTTTTTCGAAAAAATGTTTACAATTTTTTTTTGGAAATTTCGTGAACTGATTTTAAGGCCAACTCCACCGCGCGACCCTATCTTGTCCGGCCCCGTCCATTTGGGGTAAAACGGACAAACCGGGCGGCCCAGCGCGCGGGAGCAAACGGACTTTTGTCCGTTTTGTGTCCGCTTTCGACCCATCTGCGGCCCAAGTTTGCGCCGCTTTTGGGGCGAAATGGACAGCGCGCGGACGGGCGGGACGCGCGCGCTTGTCCGCCCTGGCCCGCGTGTCAGTGACACAGAGCAAACCCCACCCCCCTCGCGGCCCCTTTGGCGCCATTCCCCCCAAACCCTCCCACGCCCCGCCCTTCCCACTCCCTCCCTCGTCCATGGCCGACGCCCAGCCGAACTCCGGCGGGCTGGCCGTCGACCCTCCCGGAATGGCCAAGAAGAAGAAGGGCAAGGCGCCAAGAAAGCCGCGGTCGGAGTGCACGCCGGAGGAGATCGCCAAGTTGGACGCGGAATCGGCGAAGAGGAGGAGCCGGAGGGCGGTCGCCAAGACCAACATCGCCGCGGCCAAGAGAGCCGCCGAGCGTGCTGCGATAGAGGCCGCGCGGCACAAGGCCGAGGTCGAGGAGAAGGAGGCCATCGTCAGCAAAGCGCACGCCCTTCTCATGGCCGACATTTGTTGCCCCCCCCGGTTTCTCTGGAGGGGCCGTCGGTCCGGCGAGCACAGGGTTGTCGGTCGCCCGGCCTCCGCACTGCCAGCCGCCGACGTCGCGGACCACGCCCTTGTCGCCCGGCTTTCCTCCGTCAAGGCACGACGGCCAGACCCATTTCGGGGGGTCACCGGACGTGAACGTGATCGCGCCGTCCACACCACGCCCCTCGGCCGTCATCGACCTCAACGTCACCCTGGGTCCAGCAGCGGCGGCCGGCCGTCCGTCGAGATGGAAAGAAAGCAAGCACGACCGCCGTTTACCGGCACCATGCCCCCGTCTTGTTCGACGGAATGCCAACACCAACGGCACCGGTCGACGACCCCTACTACGACCAATTCATGGAGGAAGTGATCTACAAGGGTGGCCATGTCCCTGTCTTCGACCCCGAGGAGACCCAAAGTCAGGATGGTCGCGGCCAGTTCACTGCTGATGAAGAGGCGATGACCGTGCTGACTACGACCATGGTGACTCGTGGCATGAAGACGATGACATCTATGTCGAAGGTGATGGTGATGAAGAATAAAGCAATGACGTTGACATTAGTGGCGAGCCATTGTTCATCGACGAGCTGACACAAAGAGCGAAAGCACAAAAGAGGAGGAAGAGCATTCACACGGGTTCATACACACAAGATGAGGACAAGTTGATTTGCCAAGCATGGATGGAGATTAGCCAAGATCCAAGGACCGACACGCAACAAAAGGGTATTGTTTTTTGGACGAGAGTCCACAAAACATTCCATGAAAGGAAGTTATTTCAGCCCTACCAATTTGAAAGCAGCCGTGGTGTCAGCTCGATTCAAAAGAGATGGTTGTTCATCCAACAAGAGTGCAACAAGTATCAAGCCGCATTTGAGAGCGTTCAAGCACGGCCCGTGAGTGGTACCGGCGTTGGAGACATGGTATGCTCTCCTTCTTTGCCCTTTCCTTGCTACGGCCATGAGACTTCGGCCTTGTACACGTTTGCATGGTCACTTGTTGTTCATCATATCGTGTAGGCATTTCAATCTTTGGAGGCATTCAAGGCCCGACACAATGACAAGTCGTTCACTCTTACGCATTGTTGGACTATGATCAACAATTGCCCTAAGTTCAAGGACCAATACGGTGAACTCCAAAGGAAGAGAGGCCTGAAGACGTCCAAGTTCGCCGGAGGTGGAGATGGCGAGGCGTTGAAGAGGCCGAGGGGCAAGACCAACTCCAAGGTTGATGACATGCGTGATGCCTCATCCATGGCATTGCATGACACTTTGCATGGCATGATGTCGCAAAAGGATGTGAGGGACGAGAAGAAGCGACAAAGCAAGGACGAGCAAATGAAGCAATACCTAGAGCTTCAAACGAAGAAGCTTGAGATGGAGGAGGCGGCCAAGAGAAGGAAGCTTGAGATGAGCGAAAAGACGAGGGCCTGGTTCGAGGCCAGGCAGAAGGAGATGCTCGACACCAATGGCCTGAACTAGGTCGTCCAGTCGGCCGTGGCTGTTCTTTTCTGGAGGCTGGCATGGGTGTCGCCCGCCCACTGGGCCGCTGGCCGTGTGCCGGCGAGGAAAACATTCATTTTGAAGGCCGTCTGTGTTGCCGGCCGCTAGCTGTGTTGCCGACGAGTACAACAATTCATTTTGGAGGCTGGCTGTGTTGCCGGCGTGCGTGCTGAACTGGGGCCGTAGGGCTTGGCATTTGAAACGTTTCTCTTTTTTCTTAAAAATGGACGCGAACAGGATGGGGTAAAGGATGCGGCCGTGTGCTGGGTGCACGGCCACCGCATCCCAGGACAGGCCCGGACACGACCCCATCCCCCTGCCCAAACAGACAGAATCCGGATAAAACGGACGTCCGTTTGGGGTCACGCGATGGAGTTGGCCTAAGTTTTGTCCTTGTTTGTTAGTTTTTTTAAGTTTCATGTTGTTATTCATTCACTTGGATGAGCCAGTCGTGGTGGCTAGCGCGGCGTGTGCATCTACATGAGGTGGTCAGTTCGATCCCTAGTGCGAACTGTCTTTTGCGGTTTTTGAAGGAAATATGCCCTAGAGGCAATAATAAATTTATTATTTATTTTCTTATATCATGATAAATGTTTATTATTCATGCTAGAATTGTATTAACCGGAAACATGATACATGTGTGAATACATAGACAAATATAATGTCACTAGTATGCCTCTACTTGACTAGCTCATTAATCAAAGATGGTTATGTTTCCTAACCATAGAAATGAGTTGTCATTTCATTAACGGCATCACATCATTAGGAGAATGATGTGATTGACTTGACCCATCCCGTTAGCTTAGCAGTTGATCGTTTAGTATGTTGTTATTGCTTTCTTCATGACTTATACATGTTCCTACAACTATGAGATTATGCAACTCCCGTTTATCGGAGGAACACTTTGTGTGCTACCAAACATCACAACGTAACTGGGTGATTATAAAGGAGCTCTACATGTGTCTCCAAAGGTACATGTTGAGTTGGCGTATTTCGAGATTAGGTTTTGTCACTCCGATTGTCGAGAGGTATATCTGGGCTCCCGCGTGGATGTACATCACTATAAGCCTTGCAA